CGACTAGGGGTGTATGACTGCCGATGTCAATATCAGGCGACACTTCATTTCTCGTTAATGTCAACGGAGATTTCACGTTCCCGTCAACCGCAGTCAGGTGTTTAATGGGTCCAGTAGCAGCACTTACTACACTGACACATTCTTCATCGTCAGTACTCCTGTTATCAGTGCTTCCACCATCGTTTTTCTTGCAGGCCAAAGCCAATAGGCCCATAGCCTCCTGTATTAGTACCTTTTTATCCGTACAGCAGAACACACAAAGCCAATGCGAGTTAGGCTTCGAGCATCTTTTATACGCCGTCGGACTTAGTCGTGTACACATTTTGTGATACCACTTTTTACAGTCGTCACACTGCATTCCCTCATCAACGGAGAACAAACAATTTGGTTGCCCACATTTGTGAGTCTTACCAACCATTGTAATTCGATTTAAAAGGTTTAAAAACAAAAAACGATAACAATGTGAACACAGGTCTTAGTCAAGGACTAAAAACAGGTACCCAGGACAAAATGTAGCAAAAAATTTCAAACTTTAACCAAAGAACTCTTAGTTAAAGTAGACCAAGAATGCTTTTTAGTGCAATAAGTACCAAAAGCAAGTATAATCACAACAAGTACAAAAATCACTGCCCTTGTTGGGATCAAAGATCAAATTACAAAGCAACAACAGAGCCAAAGTGTACACTGCAAAGCAGAGAATGCTAAATTAATGGTTTTGGTATTTATTTCGTGCTTTTGTATGCAGCATAAGATGAAAAACCTTTATAATCATGCAATCCAACCAACCCACGGCAATTAAAATACAGAATGACCGCCTCTAGTCAAGCCGTTCAAGGTCGTTGAAATGAGAGGGCGGGCACATTCGAAGGCACCTAACGTTAGGGTTAGGGCATCGTGAAAAGCGACACTGGATAAATACATTCGTCTTTGAAAATGAAGTGCATTACTCGAAGTAGTAAATAAGGGCAGTGTACTCATCGGATTAGGATAACTAAGCAATGCACTGGGATTATAGATGACCTGGAGAACAATTACATGCATTGCCTTACAACTAATACACGCAGTTCTAGCATCGTGGAAGGAATGCTGCTGCATTTGTAATAGCTCTCTTTCCTGATTTGGTATGTTAATTCCTGCATCTAATTGATGTTCCATCTGCACATACAGTTGATCACCAAAATCACACATAAGGGATTATATCTGCAACTCAGGGGTAATTTCTCTAACCTTTTGGTTATCCTGTAAATCGTTTTTGAAATTTCGCCTTTACACAGCATTAGAAATTAGTACACTTTACATGGTTTTATAGTAGTTCTTTGATAGTTGCATAGAGATGTGAAACAGTCTTAACTGGGAATGCTAAAGTTTATAATAAGCTATAAGCATCCTTCCCATTGAAATTAGCCGTCATTTTATCATCCTTAACTTCTTTCCTGGTTAGGCTTCAGATTACAGACCTTTCCATGTAATCTTCGAAAACGTCAGAATTGAATGTACATTCAAATATTCTATCAAAATATCTATCGCGACGTCGATATAATGGTTAGAATTATTCTAATTGACGTGCTTACTAAGAATTCCAGAAATGGTGCAATTTACAGCAAGTAGAACTAGAAGGGCACAAACGAGCATATTACATTTGGAATTCGTAACCAGCGGACTATAAAAAACAAAAGAATCATTATTTCGTACAAAAGCCACATAATTACAAAATAATCATATTTTATCACACACATAGTCATTGGATCGCCTATTTATTGAATTTATAACGCGATACACACTAAGTTACATAACCTAGTAGGTCGGTGAAATAGTTAGTTTAGGCCAAAAATATTTGTAAGTTGAGCTACGCGGATGGTGCCTCTTCCCCTAACATTATGACCAAAAAAGTAGGTGGTCTTGTGTTTGGTCACAAATTTGAGTTCGGTTGTCTTAATTTGATCGTTTGAGTACATGCTCATATATTCGTCCTTAAGCCACACTTCAGGTATGATGTATTATAATGCTGCCCAAACTGAAATAGGTGGAGCGATGCACAAATATGTGACCTGGTAAGTAAATGTAGGATACCTTAACTACCAAATTATCCCCCTAGTAAGTTAGAGCTTACATGTATATGTTTGTTTGTCATTCTTATGTTAGTGATGTTCTATTAGAAACCTTTAACTTTACTTTGGCTGTGATCACGAACTTCTTTAGCAAATGCTTTGAGACAAAGCAGGTTTTTCGTAATACTGAAAATCGACCTAAAAAAATATAGAGAACTGTCATTTATAAAACCGAGTGTTTTCACAGTCCATGTTCAATATATTTTACACATAATTTAAGCTCACATTTCCTTCAGGTTTTACAAACTTTTCAGCAGTTAAACTTCCTCGAGTGGAATGTTATATAATATTTCTCTTTCAACTTATCTTACTTACACCTGTTACTCCTCGTGAAGGAGCATAGGCTGCTCACCAGCATTCTCCATCCAACCCTGTCCTGGGCAATCCTTCTAGCTCCGTCCAGTTGTAATTAATCGTTTTCATATCTGCTTCTATTATCCGACGCAATGTGTTCTTGACCTTCCTCTTTTTCGCTTCCCTTCAGGATTCCAAGTTAGGCTTGCCTCGTGATGCAGTTTGACGATTTGCGTAATGTATCCTATCCATTCCATCGTCTTTTCCTAATTTCCAATTCAGCTGGAAGTGGTTTGCTCTCTCTCCCACAGAAGGCTATTGCTGATGGTATCCGGCCAATGGATGTTGATATCTTGCGTAGACAGTTATTTATAAATAACTTGTACCTTCTTGATTGTGGTTGTTGTAGTTCTCCAAGTTTCAGCTCCATACAGTAGAACTGCCTTGACTTCGTATTTGAAGATTCTCACTTTGATATTGGTTGAAAGTTGTTTTGAGTTCCATTGTTCTTCAATTTTCAGTGAATATTTAATTGATGCAGCACCTCCTCATCCTCAAATACTGGCAGTACAATTAGAATATTTAATGATATGGCATATATATAAATGACCAATATGATTCATCAGTTGTTATGCGATGTTTACGTATTTTAGAACGATTGACACTTTCAGCCTCAGGTTTTCAAAAGGGAATATACCTCACAGCATGGAAAGTCACATGTCGAGTTTCTGATTGGATGAGATTATTTATACTGCTACTATGTTTAGTAGGATGTCAGAATTCTCCGTAAACCCAAGGCCATCTAAAATACTATAAAAACCTAGATAATCACTGAAGATTTTGATGAATGTTCTTTTAAGAAAACTAATCAACATAATCGTGTTCCTGTTATATGTCAAACAGGAATACTGGAATATATCTGTGTAATATGTGAAACAGCAACTGGTATATACATGGATGTCACTGTTCCATATTTTCCTACCATACCTTATTCATTCCGATATTGCCTTCTTATTATGTCCATGGATGCATTTAACTCTACTAGATGAATCGTAACACACACATCGCTAATCGACGTTATTTACTCTACTGCAGCTCATCAGAGTATGTTCATATTTCACTATTGTGTTGGCACGACAGACGAATTTATTATGTTCTACTCTACTTATTTTCACGATTTATTTCGTTTTCATATCCATAGACAATTTATTACTGTTTTCACAATATTTCGAATTGTTCATCACGAACGTATTATTTAATCGTTCAGACTATCACAATATAAATGCATGTTAAATTTCTCTGCGCTGATTGATTCGCTTATAAATCGCATGCTAATTTTTCCATTTTTTTCCCCATGCCTTTATGATATTCACGTATTCTTTTACATAAGTATAACACACATTCGTATCATATACTCAGCCGTCATGTGTCATTGTGCATCACCAGGCCTAGTACAATTTTCTCCCTGCCTGTTAACAACATCCACATACTGATTTGATGTTGTTTACGAAAACAGACATTTCTTTCAAATGTTCTATTTGCTACAAGGGGGCTATGTTGTGTCAGTTAATATGTTTAGCCCATATACTTTATTCTAGCTTCTGTACAGGTCAATTTATTCATTCTTCATGAGAGTCACATTTTAACCATGTTAAGGATAAGCGACATATATATTTCAACAGCAATCAAACATACGATCTAATTGGAGTCAGATCCCGGGCCACTAAATTGGTGAGCCCGTCGACAACATCGTGAGGTCTAACTGATGTCAAATTGACGCATTACCAAACCCGAACCGAAGTGTTCGTTTGTGTGTATCATGCACTAGATACATAAGCAGTTTTCATCTTCAATACTTGAATACTCGTCTGCTGGTATCCATCAGAAATATGGTCAGTTTGTCTGGTGAGATGTGTCGGTTGACCATGGTCTGCTTGCCTGCCTGTACTCAATACGCGTGGTTGAACTCGGGATTCGAGCACGAAGCACAGGTGAATTAAGCATTTGGCATACATGAAGGTAGTTTGATACATTCAGACGATGTTGTCTGTCAGTGGGACTAAGAAACGGACTGTGACTGGTCGGTGTTGTGAATGAGACGAAGTCTCGAAGTGACAAGGAACAGAATGAGAATGTGGTGGTAGTGTTGTTGTTGATTGGCTGTGATTGTGTGTTTGTCTTAGTATATGTGTGATAGTCGAGACTGTATGATGTGGGTGCTTGTGAAAGTGAACGTTGGGGGTGGCATTGAACTCATTCTCATTTCAAACTGGTGCCTGAAACCAGAGCTTTGGACCACTCGGCCACACGAAGAATGACCGACAACCCGTAACAGTAATTCATCAATATCAACATTCCATTTCACCTTTATCCAAATACACTGTACTATTCAGGACAACACTACAAACGACACAATACTCATGGACACATGCACTATTAACATCGGACCTTCTAACTCTAACTCAAGCCTAACTCTAACCCTCAATCCTAACCCTTGACCTGACTCCGACCCTAACCCTTGCCTTTAAACTTTCTCCGGTAGTCACTGTGTTGCACTTTCTGACCTGGCTATAGTTTTTTTTTATATAATTCGTTTTATTTTAACTGTGAAATAACTTTTATTGAAATGTAAATATAAATCATTTGTTTATTGTTCATAATTGGAATATATATAGACCTAAACATTTAAAGGCTCAATGAAGTATTCTCTTTATTGAATAGTTGCTAATACCTTATAAACTAAATTAAAAATTATCATTTTTTTGATGGGGGGGGGACATTAACGATAATCAAATGTTATAGTCGATATGTATTTTACACACCAATTCTAATGATATCCATGTCATGTATCTTTATGACTCTTTGGTGTAATAGAAAATCGACTAATTTTATGCAAGGAACCATAAGTTAAACTTTTGCGTAGTAATGGAGTTGGTTGACCAGACTGTTCAGATTCCATATTATGTGATGTACTACTTCTAATCAATTTAGGCGTTTGATGACTCATACCGGAGGAAGAGGAGCAGGAGGGTGAAAATGAAGAATATTTAAATGTCAGCCAACGTACTACTTGTCTTGGTGAAAATACTTTCATTGTACGAACTGAAGGAAATCGTTTCATTCGAATTTGTGGTGACTCTGTGTTCGCCAACATATTATTTGTAAGATCATTATCCTGGGTTGAACTATGTCTTCGCATGCATGATATTTGATTAGTTGTCTTTGATCTAAACATTTGTGTTAAAGTTAATTTTTTCGATGTAGTCAATGTTTCATGCATATCTACAATGACTAAAGGATTCTGGAATTCTTCAGATGGTCTCGATAAAGTGATGAGGGTTGGACCTGATGTTGATCTCGTTTGCCGGTTGATATTTTGAATTAAATCAAGCCACTTTCTCATAATTTCACTGGTTTGAGCCTAAAACAGGAAACAATGGGAATAAGTTTATGATTGTCATTTATAATACGTAAACATGCTAAGAAATATAATTCTAAAATAAATGAATCATCTGTATGTTCACTGTTCGGGTGTTATACTGTAGATCACAGATCAATACGAAATTTCCTAATCTGTAAATGTTTTACACTGTTATTTATTATCACCGGCTGAAAATTCTAAAGAAGGAAAGACAAACCGAAATATTGACACTTCAATCGAATTTACATCTATGGAAGCTCCACCTGGAAGCGTTGGCAGATCCTGTATGATCCATATTTATCCTCATTAGCATCAGTGCTCTCGTAAGTCACTTAGCGATGTCAGCTGTTATTGTTTAAGTATTTGCTAATAGCGGTTCGTAGATTTCTGATAAAAAGGTAATGACATCTCCTATCAATCTTCACTGCCCAGCTGGTTGATGGTAAACATAAGGCAATCAAACATGGGTCCAATCGCATTTTAAATGATCTTCCCAACAGAGTGTTTTTATTGACTTTATTGTGTGAGCCAGAGTCTTGAATAAACAGTTAAAGTATATAAACATGGAGAAAAGTTATTCTGATGGCCAGTAGGAACTCGTTGGACAACCAAGTCGTCATGTTTATGACAAGTGTTAACTTTTAAAATAGCCAGTAATAGAATGACGCCTGACTTTCTTTTGAAGCTCAAGTTTTAACTTCCATTGATAACATTATAATTTTCTGCACATAACGTGGAAATGTGCAGGATGTTCCTTACTTTTGAAGATACCCTCTAGGTCCTGATTATTCCACAATTTATATTAGATCCTAGTATTAAACCAACATAGATCCAAGTTTGTCAGAAAACGGGAAAGTATTCATGATCACTGCTTTCATGTTGTTTGATGACAAGAGGAACTTTCTTGTCAATTACTGATAGTAAAACAAAACCAAAAAGTAACATCATAGTAACGAAAACGTTTGATTAAAAGATATTCGTTGCTCGTTTTCTTATTACCATATTGTATTCACAGTAGCTCAGTCAACATATCAGCACAGAATAGACAATAATTTGGAGATATACTTCAAATTAGTGACTAAAATCTTTACTCTATAACCATTTTCTTATAATAAAATGTTACAACAAGGAGTTACGTGGTGTACCATCTAATGAATTCGGTGTATTTCAAATTGAAGCGGAGGAAGAAATCAGGAAGAAGCGCTGGAAGTGGATAGGACACATATTGAGAAAGGCACCCAACTGCGTCACAAGACAAGTACTCACATGGAATCCTCAAGGCCAAAGGAGGAGAGGAAGACCAAAGAACACATTACGCCGGGAAATGAAGATAGACATGAGGAAAATGAACAAGAATTGGATGGAACTAGAAAAGAAGGCGGAGGACAGAGTGGGTTGGAGAATGCTGGTCGGCGGCCTATGCTCCATTAGAAGTAAAAGGTAGAAGTAAGTAAGCAAGTATGCCGAATTGATAAAAACAAATCGAGAGAATGAATATTCGGTTACGATTAATTTCTCGTCAATACTCTACACTAATATAGAGATTTTTACTTATTTATAAAACCAATACAAAATAAATCTTAGTCGAATAGTTTAACAATCACAATATTTTTTACCAAATATTGGAAACAACCAGATGATTAAACCATTGGATTTCTGAACATCGCTTTGCATAGTTGACGAAAGATAAAATGAGATATTAAGTTGATACGGATCAGGAACCACATTTTACCTTCTAGGTTTATCGATAGAACTTCATCAACCCTGTCATCATAGACTTTCAGAATCTGTCACTCATATACAACGAAAGCCAAAGTAACATGTGTCAATGAACCTGATCTGGTGTGCAGAAAGCCTTCATACAGTCTCTTCAGTTATCCTGGTCTTCAAGTTGGGTACTGTTGCATTACTCAGAAAATAAATTTTTAGTTTTTTCTGTCAGGTTTATTCAACTGAATTCCTCATTGTGTTTCTGAATAATCTGACTTTACTGCCAGATCATTTGACTTTCTGTGCATCTGTATTGGGTTATTTAGACAGTTGTAGTTTTAAAAACGACACTAAACATTCAAAAATCATTTGCCTAACTTCACAGTGAGTTAAAATCCGATTCATCACATAATTCATGTTATATTTCAGTGTAGATTGATGATGTTCAAATGATCAAACATAATGAATGACAATTATCAAACGAACTTGGAATAGATACCGAGCTCCGGTAGCCGTAGATGTAATGCGAAATGTATTGGATCGTTTCGTATAATCCTTTGTTTCACAAGCAGTTAATAGATTCTGTCCCACCAATAATCCAGTCTCTCCACGAAATGTATTGGATTGAGGACTTAAACACAAAATAAAATGACAAAATGTTTTTTAGAACTTGAGAATGAAATTATTTCCTTAAATAACTATTTAGACAAAGTGAACAACTAATGCAAATTTAACACGTTTCTCGGCTCTAACGGATAATGAGTGGACTTGGTAAAGGTGGAAAGTCTCGTGCTAAGGTGAAAACGCGATCAGCCCGTGCTAGTCTGAAGTTCCCAGTTGGTCGTGTCCATCGCCTCCTTCGCAAGGGTAACTACGCAGAACGTCTCGGAGTTGGTGCCCCTATTTATTTGGCGGCTGTCCTCGAGCACCTGGCAGCTGAAGTTCTTGAGTTGGCTGACAATGCCGCTCGTGACAATGAAATGTGTAATGTTATGTTCCATTTATAATTGGTGAAAGTTCAATGAAGTGGCCATGAATAGTTAGATCATTGGTAAAGCAAATCATGCATATTGATTTATGACAAGGTTTCAATGAGTAAGAGCTAACTATTCTCCATTGAATTTGTAAGAACTAAGCATCCAATAAAAATGGAATTTTTTGTTTAAGATAACCACATACTTCCAATTTCAATCACACGATCTACGAACGCTTTATCCCAAATGTTTGGAATATTAGTGAATTTTACGAATCATTTGACTGGTGATTTGTACAAACCACGAAATAGTTTAATTTGTGTGCGAATTGTAATCGTTTAGTATTTTCTATATAAATATCATACTACTTTAACATAATTTAAGTAGTAACATCAGAAGCCCATCAAAATTTACGGCTTCTCGTGAACTTCGGAAAACACTATTTGATCAACTCATGAATTGGTATAAATAGTACATGAGGGTATTTCATCCATACTACAACTGGCCTGAGATGTAAAGTACTAGTGACAGAAAAATCAATAATGATGGGTGAAATATTTTACATTTCAGTATAAACATGTAAACTCACTTATCTTCATTGTAATCAGATTTGTTTTTATAGGCTAACAGCTGTTTAACTGATGTATTTAAAACCATATATAGTTCATACCAGGAACGATCACGAGATTTGCAATTATGATTAATCCATTCGTGTTTTCTCAGTAAATAGTCACTTATAGAATCTATAAACAGTGTTTAGAAGAAATGATGGAAGTAAATTGAATAGCCTAATGAAAGTTAACATTTAACTAACAAAACATTACGCCTGGAGGCCATTTAGTAGTCATACTGTAACTTATAAATTTGATGCCTATAAAATTCAGCAATCATTACTCTAGTCTACGTATATGTATATAGTACAGAAGACGCGTTTAGTTTATTTAAACATGCTTTAGTGAACAGAACATGGATGATGACAATTGAATGTTGCATGTCAATAAAATCTGAGAACCAGATATTAAATCGTTAATTTGCAAAATGTCCACCAATTGTCTCAAAATGCCTCAAACTTCATTGTTCTTACATTTTCATACAAGTTGCATTCTATTCCCGCTCTTGCTTTCTTGATCTTCCCTCATCTTCTGCTGCCAGACATTACATTCCTGACTCGCATAATATACTACTTATATCAATATAAGTAGCACGTACCACAATAATACATCAAATGAAAACATTAGTAACTGAGAGAATTATAACAGCTAGTAACCACTGAGAGATTAATCAAACTACGAATCAAATGTGTTAGTTTGTTTACTGACTGAATAATAGTCTGGACATGTATCGTGTGAACAATGACGTCATATATTGTATTCTGATATAAACAGAGAGATATTCTATGATTAGATTTATCATCCAATTCAACTAATTTTCAATTATCAGAATGGGTTTTGTGGAGATTTTTGTGGAGATTTTTATAAATTTCACTGATTGATATCATGAGCCAATTGAAGCTAAACCACCACTGGAAACCTAAAAGCACTGGACGGCCGTTTCGTCCTAGTATAGGACTCCTCAGTGGCAGCGCGCATCCAGAATTATCACAGTTATTTAATTTGTGAAACGTTTGCATCTGTAACAAACGTGAAACACAAGCCTTTAAATTGTTTCATTTTATCAAACAATAACTTTTATCCTTCTTTTACTGAAGTATACTAAGTGAAATAATATTTTGAAGTATTCTAAGTATATGATTAGATTATAAACAAACTTTCACGTTAGATGGTGGTTGGAGGTAGTCGGCAGGAAACTCTGGACCCGAGTTTCGTGCTACTTGGCACTCGTCATCAAGGTGTATCTGTAATCTTGAGGAAACTGGTGCTCTCTGGAGGATTCGATGTTTTGTCAACCAGCTTCACAGTCAGAGACGTTATCACTGAGCTATCCGAGCAGCGACTTTCATGTTATCATCATTATCATCATCATCAAGGAAGTCGAGTTCAAATAGCATAAGTAAGGTATTTGAAAAACGTGTAAGCAATGATGTTACTAAATGTGGTTTTATATTATTTGTAGCTGATAGAAAGTCTCGAAATGAACTGAAAATCCTGTTTTTCCCACTTTTTTCTGTGATCATATCGAATAACCAGGAATTTTGAAATATTTAGTTTAGTTAAACTACTTTTTATAATAAGTGAATAAATTTTATTAAATTAAAAGCATGTGTGTTATATTAAACTACTGAATGAAAGATTCTGACCTTCTGTCGCCTCCCAACTAACTTCAGGTGAATCAGTAGTATCCTTTAAATTCTCATCTGTCATTGTGTCGACATTCTGCTTAGAATCATCAAAATCATTTGATGCATCTGTTTCGTTCAATTCATAGTATTTTAAAAGTGTTTGTATATTTTCTAGATCCGGACTGTGAACAATATTCACACAACTTATTGGCACATTCAGCATATTTTCTTCGATCTCAGCAAGTTCAAACTAAAATAAATTAAGAAAATATATGTAACATGCTGATAAATGATGGAGCCAAAGTGGGTGGGCATATATATTCTACACTGAAGAAAGTAATATGAAAGAGATGTCTGCCCTTCTTAATGAGCTTTTGGAAAAAGTTAAATATTCTAAAGACACATTGTGAAATGTGAAACATAGTAAACTTAAAGTCTTAAATTGTGAATGTGTATTAAAATTTAGATTTCATCTGTTATTCTTTAAAAGAGAATGAGATTTAAGAAATCAATATCAAAATGTTGCTTAAGTGCGGTGATCGGACGAAAACCGTTGCTTTCAACGTGGTATGGTCGTTGGCTTTTTTATCTAACCAGCAATACATCCTCTGCCAGGGAAGTCTTACTCACCACCTTCTCGTGGCCATAGTGTTGTTTACGAAAATGAGAGAACGAAATGCGAATGTCCGGCGCTTTAACCGGGTTCCAAACTAATGGTGCACATGGGCTCCAGGATCCAGAAGGAACAAATGGCGTATGAACCAATTGTTGGTCACCGGCTACCATGTGACTGCATCTCCTTACGTTGATCCACTGTCTTGTGGATCAGACCTTCAGGTCGAAGGCTAAAGGGGTGGCCTCCTAAGAAAACCACCTGCTTCGGTTTGGGCACCCGGGCAGTATCACAGCCCTCACACATATCGAATGAGATTTGTGTGGTGCATATGTATTTGGTGCCTACTTGTACCAATATCTATGTGTTAAAATAAATAAAATAATAAACTATCAAAATGACTAAGGTAACATTGAATTAGTGCTTATGCTTCATTGAAATATTATTCAATGCATAACGTCATTAGTTCACTTGCCTGGTCAGTAGAAAATCTAAAGTTCTATACATTTATGGAACCAAAAGTATTAACATGACTAGAGCAATTGTTCATATAGTTCACTAAGTGTGTAATGTTTTGAAATGTTAACCTTATATAATTATAGGCAATGTATGTTTATGATTATTATGTCACATAAGCAATACTGACCAGATGATTCTCCCCACCTTTCACCGAGCTGAATATACACAATGACTGATCACTTACTATACAAGTCATAGAACATTATTATGATGAAACCCCGAACATTATACTTCAGCTTGTCTACCACCCCCCTTGAGAAATACACCACCCACTTCTTAATATAATCTAGGGCAGAACTTTTGGTTCCAACCACGATACATGGAGAATCCCGTTGGGTTACCACTAACCTCATCTTATTGTAGTCAAGGATTAAAAAGAACTGAAGATTTTGTGCATTCTAACAGTAATTCACTGGTGGTCGATACTTTGTATTGCGTTCCAAAAATATTTCAAAACATACAATAGCTATTTGAGCACTTTTCAAGTTTGACTCTCATCTTTACTTTTATAATAGCCTTCACATTGCACTTGTTGTATGATATTACTCAAACGCTTATTTCTCAGTATCTTTGACTTTAGCTATTAAAAGTGAATGCAATGTCGGCTCAGTGTTCTAGTGGTTAAGTGCTCGCGCGCGAAACTAGTAGATGCTGGGTTCGATTCTCGCAGGGGCGAGGTCGTGGATGCGCACTGCTGAGGGGTCCCGTAATAGAACGAAACGGCCGTCCAGTGCTTCCAGGTCTAGCTTCAACTGACTCATGATCTTAACCATTGAATATTAAACGTTTTAAATGTGACATCTAAGCAAACCTTTGTAAGTTGTTTAAGTTTTTCATATCTGCTGATTTGTGGCAAAGTATTCCGTTCCAAAACATTTAATCGATCAATTAATATTTGTGTTTCCTTGATAGAATCACCCATATCTAAACATTCCACTTCTGCTGAATGAAGTACCAACCAATGTTCCAAAGAATCTGCGATACTTGGTAAGAAAAATAAGAAACACATATACGCTAGTGATCACAGGATAATCGAAATTAGTAAATAGACTAAACAGTTGTACTAATTCTTCCTATGACTGATGAATGAATAGTTAGAAAACGAAGCAAAAATAATATATATGTAACTATCACACCATAAAATGAGATAAAATAGTTCAACTTTCAGAGTTAGATAAATGCATATAGGCCACTCGGATTATGAGTGGACGTTTGAAATGTTGAATCCATGAATCAGTTTAGTTGACTTGAATTATAGATGGCTTCAACCCTCTTCACTGTCTAACGCTTATTTATCAAGCTTTTTTTATAGAGGTCATGAATCAATTGATGTTAGACCACCGTTGGAAACCTGGAAGCACCGGACGGCCATCTCGTCCTAGTATGGGACTCCTCAGCAGTGTGCATCCACGATCCCGCTCCCTGCGAGATTCGAACCCAGGACCTAACAGTTTCGTGCCAGGCGCTTAACCAACTAGACGGCTGAGCCGGCATCCAATGTTGTTAGTGTCTAACATCAACCAATCCACGAAATCGCGCGACCAACTTCCATTGTACTGAGGTAGATACCTGTCTCTACCCGACACGGATTAGCTTATTTATCAGTTCATTAAATTAATTTTCCTCAACAGTTCATTATTTGATTGATTATGTTCACACTATTTGCCAATAGAAGTATTAAGTAGTCATTGATCTCAATACATCTGAAATATTTTCAGTATAAAGTTAAACCTTTGTCACTTTAAAAGCATTACAATTTGACTGATTACATTGATAACCGATTCGTTAAGAAATATAAACCTCTGATTAATGAATTAATTATGCGTGTCTAATAAGGAGGACCGCAATAACATACCAAAAACAAGTGTAAACTCCTCCCGGGTTGTCATTAGCATCCTGATTTACATAGAATTTGATAGGCTGAATTATAGAAGCTTAAAAAGCTAAAACTTTGAAAATATCTGTGTGAAAAAGCTCGAATCATAGGCATTGATTTCCGAGATTAGCCACATACGTTATTCGAAATGATTAAAGCAGTGACAGACAGGTTAGTTGCGAAAAAATGCCAGTAGTAGAAACCCTTTGAAATGTATCTGTTTAAATGGATGACTAAGTTCAAGATCAAGAGCATTTCTTGTGAATTGTCTTACAGACTGATCAAATGGTTGTGTAAAATAACGAAACCATTCATTGAATGATCAAATTTCAATAGTATAAGAAGTCAATTAGTGATCAGTTATCATTTAACTAACCTTGCAAATTCATTAATACTAAGTTGTAATTCTAGTCGTTCATATATTTGATGCCATTTCTTGTGCAAATTATACCATGATGTTACTAATCGTGTCATACGTAAATGAAGATCTGTTATTATTTGGTCTTCTTCATCGCTCATATGACTCTCGCGTTGTAAATCCGGTTGATTTAATGCCATAGATGATGAATCTGACTTTTGACTGTAATTTGCATTTAACCTCATAGATTCAAGGTGAAGATCAGAGGAAATTGATCTAACTGTTGCAATTCGACTGTGTTGTTCAACTTTTTCTATAATACAATCCTTGTCAGTAATATTCACATTTTGTAAGGTATTATTCCGTAACTTTTTCTGCTGTTCACTGATCTTACAAATTTGTATTTCATCAGTTGGATTATTAGTTCCATGTTGTTTTCCCATTTCCGTTTTCGAATATAACTGAGACATTTCGTATGGCTGATGGCACTTTTCATATCTTGACTTATCATATTGCATTAAATGTTGTTTGAATGAAGCTTTCAATCTTTTACCTTCTTCTAAATATGACTTGACTTTGTCATCTCTTGCATTTAGTTCGGCTCGCAACTGAAGTGCTTGACCAATGGCATATTTTATATTCTCAATTGTACTGAAATATAAAAAGGACAATGTTTTATAAACTTTCGGTCATTTAGAGTAAAAACATTGATAAATAATTATGGGAAATATTTGAAATATAAAAGTAAACATAAAACCTTGTTAAATTCACCGATGAGCAGACTTAGCAACGAAATTGGACCTTGTTACTTATGCAAAATATAAAAAAATACGATCTAAGTATGGGACTTTTAAGGTTTTTTTGTTACTATGGTGACTAATTCATGCAGAACAACATGAAAACCAACTGATGTATTTTGTGAAGCTTAAAGGTTTCATCTTTCAGCAAACAGTAAGTCTGAGTTTGCTAATGTACCGAAGTTAGTCATTTCACAGATGGAAAAGTAGTTAGTTTCTTTTCTATAATTAGGCACCAACATAACGAGTTATTATTTGTTTTGTTGTAGTCATGATACTACTGTAGTGAACGAAACAAAATTACAGAATATCTTAGTGAAATCTGAGAACCATACAATGTCAATCAATTGTCTAAAACTTGACTGTTCCATTTGCAAATATCAGTCGGCTGTTTCAGACTTCATTGTTCCTGCATGTACATACCAATTGCCTAATGTTCCCGTTCTTTCCTTCTTGATCTTCTTGAGATCCTGCTGCCAGACATTCCATTCCTAATTAACGTTATATACTACTTATGTTGATACAAGTAGCACGAACCACATTACATTCCAGTGCTGTTTTAAAAATTATGTTTTTTTAAAGTCACGCAGTTAGTTTCTTAAAAGATACTTTGAAGCAATGCTATTGAAGAAACCAGTGACATTGATGACTCGCTAGACATGGTTGGACTTCGTGAAAATGCTTTATTTTTATTACTTAACCTTATACAGGCTCTCTACTCGAACACAACTGGAAGAGTGAGAACTTATGGCGAACTGTCATCAGAATTGATTACCTCAAGTGGTGTTTGTCAAAGCTATCCACTCTCTCCATTCTTGCTCAACTTTGTCGTCGACTTACTTTTAGAGATAACACTTTCCTCGTCTAGATTTCCAGGGGTTGAACTTCTACCAGGAGGTTCACTTGTTGACTTACAATATGATGATGACATAGTTTTATTTGGTGAAGACGCTGACAAAATGCAGAGTCTTATGATCACTCTAAGCAACAATGCAAGCATGTTCGGGATGCGATTCTCTCCCTCGAAATGCAAAATGTTGCTTCAGGATTGGGTTACATCGACACCCGAACTAGTGATAGGGAGTGAAGTAGTTGAGTGTGTCGACCGCTTCACTTATCTTGGAAGTCTCATCAGCCCTTGTGGTCTGGTGTGTGACGAAGTCTCAGCACGAATACAGAAGGCTCGACTAGCTTTTACCAACTTGCATCATCTATGGCGTAGGTGAGATATCCGTCTATCAACCAAAAGACGGGTTTACTGCTCAGCAGTTCGTTCCGCCCTACTTTATGACAGTGAAACATGGCCGGTTAGAGTAGAGGATATCCGTAGGTTACTAGTATTTGATCATAGGTGTCTTCGAAATATTGCTCGTATATCCTGGGACCATCGAGTAAGTAATGCAGTTGTTAGGAAACGGGTACTAGGTAAGGATGGCAAATCAATTGATGAAGTAGTGAAACTTCATCAGTTGAGATGGCTGGGACATGTGTTACGTATGCCCAACGACCGACTGCCTCGACGTGCGATGTTCAGTGGTATAGGAATAGGTTGGAAGGAATCTAGGGGTGGCCAGACCAAAACATGGCACAAATCCATGAAGTCACTGATAAGTGGACTGAGTCATGTTGGTAGGTGTAGACTACCTGGTTGGGGACTACGAGATGATAGCAACCGATGTTAGGAGACCTTGAATGACATGGTTCAAAATCGTTTGCATTGGCGCAAGTGCATCCACTCTTTGTGTTCTCACAAATTTTGCTCTCCTTATTCCTCCTTGTCTCTTTTTTTCTCTTCCCAAATTTATTTCGCTGTATTATACTCTTTAAATAACACACTGCTTATACTCTTATTACCTCTACCATTACGGGATTTGAATCGACCACTGCATCTCTGTGCTAATGTAGTGTGGCAACTCGAACTGATGTACGTACGTACGAAGTTCTACGTTATTACTGACTGACTCGAAATTAGACACTAGTTAATTTGGGTGATTAGTTCAGCAGTTGTTGGGAATAAAAATCTAAATTTCATCTTACTGAATGTTAATTCATCACCCTTATGATGTGTGACAAAAAAAACCTTGATTCAGTATTGAGAAGCTCATAGTTTTTGTTTAAAAACAAACCGGAATGCCAAGACTTAAGCAATTGATAGTTTGACAGTAATGTAGATAATTCCTGTTGTTAATAACCATTTGAAGAAAGAACAAACATAAACAGTTCGGTTGATCATGACCTAACATATTCAGATGTCTGAAATGCTAATTAAAGATTTTGAAGCCAACCGCAATATTTACTGTAAACCAGTTGGTTTCGTTATAAGTATACTACTTATTTTGATTAGAAATGATAGACATTGGTGGAGAAGATTTGTAGCTCAGGTGGATGATTTTGGTGGAGTTTTGTTCTTTGAGCTGGATAGTTTGGTTGTGGCCAAAACTCCACCAAAATGATTGAGATTATCTGGAATAAATATAGAGTTTTATAAATGCTTTAAAGTAAAAAGAAATAAATGACCACATGAACTATTGTGCACCATTTGTGTGGTATGAACTAACAGAACTAAAAAGCAACTGTTCAATAGACTCCTAAATGAGTTAAGAATGAATGCTGAAAAATATGGAATTATAAACTACTATTTTTAATATATCCGTTTGATCACGTCTAGAAAAATGTTGAAAAACAAAAAAAATATTTGTAGTTAGCGCTCATTTCGTGTGGAAATAACATTGAAAATTGCTGAACATTCGAACATTGAACTCCTTAGTATTGTTTGATATATAATCCCCAAGTGGTCGAACCCAGATCATACAGATCTTGCGGCCATTACATAATATTCCGGCAAATGAACTAATCATATTGCACTACCAATATCAATGCCTGGTAGGGTCACAGATGAGAACTTTTGAAATGTTCTATAATAAGATAAAAAAACTGTCCATTGTCATCTGATTTTCGACTAACATCTAGCGTCATACAGTTCATGATAGGATGAACTGATCTAAGTCCATTCTATCTACTCAGGTCTCTTCACAGGATACAATACATTTGCAACTTCTATACGATGAGGACTAGATAACTGGAATTCCTTGTATTATTATTATTATTATTATTGAGATAGTGTTGATTATAGTTCAAAGCAAGGCAAAGGAAAAATATCCATAACACATGAGGATTTATTTCACCAACAGCAATACACAAATTATATTTTTAACCAATTACACCTTTGAGAGATGCCATGATGACCTTGATAGTGTGCACCTAATAATTAGGACAAAATGAGGGTTATAAACCTATTTGAAGAATTAGAATTATGATTTACAGTTGATGATAAGACTAGGTATTAGATTTACGGTTTTCATTGTGATCTAATGCCGAAATGCTATTTCGTCAAATGAATGAGTGAATTTCGCGCCAAAATCCATGACCTGTTATCTTATGCCTGATTGATTCGTCTAGAAACATTATCGTTTATTCTTTCTGAAAATGACAAATGATTTTGCATCACTCCTAGTTTATACTTTTTTTTCTTGTTTAGAAACTTTAATTGATAACAAATTGGGAAAAGATAAATAAGACTAGAATTTGGCAATAAATAGAAAGTTTCACAGATTGAAATCATGAGTCAGTTGAAGCTAGACCATCATTGAAAACCTGGGAGCACTGGACGGCCGTCTCGTCCTAGTATGGGACTCCCCAGTAGTGCGCATCCACGATCCCGCACCACGCGGGGCTCGAACCCAGGACCTACTGGCTTCGCGCGCGAGCACTTAACCACTAGACCACTGAGCGGGGATCCGACGGTGTTAATGTCTAACTTCAAACAATCCACGAAGTTGCGCCACCGTACACCATTGTCTTCAGTGAGTTCCTATCTCACAACAGACCTGGTTGAACTCCACTGGTAACGGCTTCTCACTAGAACTTCGGGAGTTTTTCCTGAAGTCAGAAGGATTGAAAACATAATAAACGGAGGTAGATTAATCATTATTGAAATGATATATCTATCTTTTGAATTAGAATGCGATTGGTTTAATGGAAATAAACATTATTATAACCAATTGTACCAGTGGTTGTTTTACTGTGCTTGTTTGCTTAACTGTGTGGTGCGTGCTACTTATATTGATATAAGTAGTATATAACGTGAGTCAAAAGAACGTAATGGCTGGCAGCAGAAGATGGAGAAGATCAAGAAAAGAAGAGCGAGAAAACAATGGAATTTGTAAGAAATCGCATGAGCAATGAAATGCGAGACAATGGATTGATGTTTGCAACAGCAACAGCCCGGTTTGATATGATAGAATGATATTTTGCAAATTAACGATTTACTATATGGTTTTTCTATTTTACCAAGTAATTCTGTAATTTGTCCTAAATACAATTTGGCTGTCCTCACCCGTGTTCTTCTTCACTACATTTGGTGTCGCTGCCTCCACTGAGGATGAAGATCCCATGGCCGAAGGAGTTTGAGGACGGAGATGTGCTGAGCTTCCTGAAGGAGTTTGAGGCCGTGGCGGAGCTGGTGGGAGTGAAGGAGCCGAAGGCGAAGTTGGTGGTGCTGGGGACGCTGCTGAGAGGCAGGGCGAAGGCGGTGTATGACAGCCTGGACGGTGCTGGCGGGAAGACCACATGGGAGGCAGTCACGGAGCGGTTGGCGGCGGAGTTTGACAGCCCAGTGGACAGAGAGGACGCGCTGCAGAAGTTCCGGTTGGCGAGGTTGCCGGTCGATGGGGACCCACTGGTGCTGGCTGTGGAGCTTACCAGATTGTTACGCCGTGCGCTGCCGAGTCTGGATGAGGAGTCGGAGGCACAGTTGTTGGCGTCGCAGTTTATCGAGAGTGTGCCTGCCACCGTCTCCCAACAGCTGAAACTGGTGAACGCAGCGCAACCGATGGATATCAGTGAACTGGCGAAGGTGACTCGTCAGCTGATGACGCGAACAGTAGCTCCGGTCGGGTGCGGAAAGCAGGAGATGAGTAATGTCGAGAAGAAGATTGAGGAGCTGGAGCGCGAGATTGCAGCAATACGAGTGAACAATAAAAGGAACGATAAATGTTACGCTTGTGGAGGGACAGGACATTGGAAGATAAACTGTCCAACAAGACGAAGACGCAGAAATGT